CTCAACCCATGCCCTAAATATGTCTGGTACCATGTCAGACACTGAGGACCTGGGGATGGCTTTGGGGATAGGTAGAAGGCATGATTCAAAGGGAGGCCACTAAGGCAGAGAAGAAAGTATTGCTGCTTGTCCTTTGAAGCAACACACAATAAGGCTATTTCTGGTTTGTAGAATTGCTCTTGAAGTCTCAGAAAATAGCCATCATGTCTTTCTTCAACCTCCCCTTCAATCTTCTCCTTTTCAGAATAAACACATTCAGTTCTTTCAACTGATTTTTATGAATTCCATACTGTTTATTGATACTCTCTTGTGGGTACGATTAATTTTATCAATTTCTCAGAATGTAGCCCCAAAACTTTACCATGGATTTCTGGAGGCAGCACAGGATCCAGGGGTGCCTTCTCTATTATAAACACCATAGCTTAAAATTGCTCCCCACCTTTTTCTCTCCTGAAAAGGAGGAGTTTTAATTTGAGTCACAAACACAAATTGCCTTTTTTCCCCTAAGAAAATTGCTTCTTTGGTGTTCTGCTCCCACATTTTATGGGGATCTCATGTGTGTTCTCTCAGGCCCCTCTTTCCCACCCCCTGAGTCCCCCTGTCTGTGATCAGAGAAACATGATACGTGGATTGGCTTAGGCCTTGCTCATATCCTCCATCTGAGCAGGGGTGAGAGGGAGAGGGGGTATATTCTCCAGAGGCATGTTAGTTTATATTTTACCAGAGAAATAGAGGCATGAGAAGAAAGTCAAGAACATGTTACCAAAAGTCAGATTACTAATGGAAGGATACGGTTAAGTTTTATGATTCTTCTTATGCATGTAAAGCTACTTTTCAAGAACATGTTGCAATCTATGGTGCCAGCAAGACTATGTGAGAATTAAAAAATGAGCAAGCATTAAGGTTTTTCATTTCGCTTTTTAACTCAATAATTATGGCATCGTACTTCACAGTCATTTAATTTGCATTTCTTTGGTGACACTAACCCATTTTTGTTTTTATAATTTGTTTGTAGTTATATAAAGGCAAATGGTTGAATAAAAAGGGAAATAATGCCTATATCATTTTTTGAGGACGAAGGTTTATCAGTAGGTAAGAACAGGTATAAAATAGGTTATTTTCCAAAGTTATATTTGCCCTAAGGAAAATCAGATCTTAATGATTTTTTTAAAAAAACTCACACAAAGTTCACAGAGAGCTGGAAATTATGTGTGCTCCTGCCAACTAGAGTGGAGAGACTTAATAATTTAATTAACATTGACTAGATTTCAGAAGGGTCATGCTTTAGTAGTGGAGCCATATTAGCCCCCAGTTAAAAGGTCTCCTAAACTTATAAGAAAGCTTTAAAGCAAGCTTTGAAGGTATCAAACCGATTCACAGAATACTGAACTGTGTGCTGGAACAAAGGGCAACCATATTTAAAGGAATATAACAAAATTCAGCACCTAACAAAATTTTCAATATGCAGCATCCCATCAAAAATCACCAATCATGCAAATAAGCAAGAAAATGTGATCCATAAGCAAAAGAAAAATAAATAGATCCATAAATGACAGAGAGAATGGAATTAGTAAATATGTACCTTAAAGCATCTATTATACATCTTATAAAATATATGCAAGAAATGGAAGATATACAAAAGATCAGTGGAACATCTAGAGATAAAAAATAAATAAAAAATCATAAAAGTATATGTTGTATGGGAAGAGCAGCAAATGGGACACTACAGAAGAAATGACCCATGAACAGGAAAGTATAGCAATATAAACTCTTAGAAATAGGAATAGAGTGACAAAAGACTGAAAATTAAATTGATAAAAAAGAGCCTCAGTGAGCCATGGGACAATATCAAGTGGTGTAAAATACATGTGATTGGTGTCCCGGAAGAGGGGACAGAAAAAAATATTTAAAGAAATAATTATGAGGCCGGGCGCTGTGGCTCACGCCTGTAATCCTAGCTCTTGGGAGGCCGAGGCGGGCGGATTGCTCAAGGTCAGGATTTCAAAACCAGCCTGAGCAAGAGCGAGACCCCGTCTCTACTATAAATAGAAAGAAATTAATTGGCCAACTGATATATATATAAAAAAATTAGCCGGGCATGGTGGCGCATGCCTGTAGTCCCAGCTACTCGGGAGGCTGAGGCAGGAGGATCGCTTGAGCCCAGGAGTTTGAGGTTGCTGTGAGCTAGGCTGACGCCACCGCACTCACTCTAGCCTGGACAACAAAGTGAGACTCTGTCTCAAAAAAAAAAAAAAAAGAAATAATTATGGCTGAAAATTTTCCAAATTTGATGAAAAACTATAAGCTCACAGACTAAGAAGCTCAATGAATCCCAAGAAACAGAAATATAAAGAATCCATACCAAGGCACATCATAATCAAATTGCTAAAACTCAGAAATAAAGAGAAAAATCTTAAAAGTAGCAAAGGATGAAAAGAAACTTCACATTTTACACATAGAGGAGCAAAGATAAGAACAACCAATAACTTCATATCAGAAATAATCTTACAAGCCAAAATATAAGAAATGACAACTTTAAAGTGCTTAAAAGTTGTTAAACCTAGAATTTTATATCTAGTGAAAATATCTCTCTAAAATGAAGGTAAATAAAGATTTTTTCAGACCTAAATCTAACCACATAGATGAAATGAACAAATTTCTTAAACGAAAACATCTACCAAGGCTCACTTAAAAAGAAATGGATGACCTGAATATTCCTATATCTAATAAAGAAATTGAATTTATAGTTAAATGCCTTTACACAAAGACAACTCCCAGCCCAGATGGCTTCCCTAGAGAATTTTTCACAAACTCTTTCAGAAAATAGAATAGAAAGAAACACTTCCCAGGACATTATAGAGTCAGCATTATCTCAATAACAAAACCAAACACAGTGCATCAAAAAGAAAATTACAGAGCAAACATTTCATGTACACAAATGTAAAAATTTTAGCAAATATATTTTATATATAATATACAGGCTTTTAACATTGTTTGACATTTTTATTTTTATTTTTATTTTATTTTATTTTATTTTATTTATTTTTTTTTTTTTTTGAGACAGAGTCTCACTTTGTTGTCCAGGCTAGAGTGAGTGCCGTGGCGTCAGCCTAGCTCACAGCAACCTCAAACTCCTGGGCTTGAGTGATCCTTCTGCCTCAGCTCCCCGAGTAGCTGGGACTACAGGCATGCGCCACCATGCCCGGCTAATTTTTTTTTTTTATATATATATCAGTTGGCCAATTAATTTATTTCTATTTATAGTAGAGACGGGGTCTCGCTCTTGCTCAGGCTGGTTTTGAACTCCTGACCTCGAGCAATCCGCCCGCCTCGGCCTCCCAAGAGCTAGGATTACAGGCGTGAGCCACAGCGCCCAGCCTATGTTTGACATTTTTAAATGTTAAATCAAGATTATATTCCTGGTATAAACCCCACTTGGTCATGATTAATTATGATAAATAATTTTAAATAATTATGAAAATTTATCATGACCATGTGGGGTTTATACTAGAATAATAACCTTGGTTTAACATTCAAAAAATTTAAGCAGTGTAAAATAGAATACGAAAGAACCACATTATCCTCTCAATAGGTGAAAAAAATTTAATGCTCATACCTGATTTAAAAAAAAAAAACCTCTTAGTAAATTAAGAATAGGAAAGAAAAGAACTTCCTAACCCTGATAGAGCATATATATGAAAAAATTATAGCCAACACTATATATAATGGTGAAAGACTGAATGTTTTGCCCTTAAAGTCAGAAACAAGACAAGGATGTCTGCTCTCACTACTTCCACACATTTTACGAGAGGCTTTGTTTTCATTATAGAACATGTTACTACTAATACATCTTGGCTTTTTTCATTTTTGTCTCTTCTTCGTGGAGTCAGGGACCTTGTCTGCCTTGTTCTTCCTGTATCCTTAGCTCCTAGAATAATGTCTGGCACAAGGTGGGTGCTCAATGAATATTTATTAAATAAATGAACTTTTTGGTAGTATTACGTAAGTGGAGTACACCTGTGGGACAAAAGCATTCATAGGCCACTTAATTTTCCTCAGTAAACAACTTTTTCACCCAACGTTTTCTTGTCATCATATATCCCAAAAGGTAGTCATCCCCAAAGGAAATTTTTGTAAAAGTTTTGCATTTCCATATATGAACTCCTTCTCCAAGGAAATGCTTCAATAGCTTGACTTGGGTTCATTGATGTCTCCTGCCAGCCTATTGTTTTTTTCCAGAATAAGTCATGAATTTTTGTGATAGAATTTTTCCCTCGTGTAATGGACTGAATAGTGTACCCCACCCCCAAATTCACATCCCCCTAGAACCTCAGCATGTGACATTAGTTTAAAATAGGACCTTTGCAGATGTAATTTGTTAAGCTGAGGCTATATTAGAGTAAGCTGAGCCCTAAATCCAGCGACTAGTGTGCTTATAAGAAGAGGAGAAGACACAGAGAGACACACACAGGGAAGAAGGGCACGTGATGCTGGAGGCAGAGATTGGAGTGATGCCACAAGCCAAGGCATGTCAAGGATTGCTGGGACCAGCAGAAGCTGGGGAGAGACAAGAGAGGATTCTTCCCTAGAGCTGTCAGAGGGAGCATGGCCTTGCTGCCACTTGATTCTAGACATCTAACCTCCAGAACTGTGAGAGAATAAATTGCTATTACTTTAAGTCACTAAGTTTGTGGTAGTTTGTTATGGCAGCCCTAGGAAACTAATACCCTTTGTTATGCCACATGGTGTTTTTATTACTCTTTTAATACCAATCTTACATCATACTTGTTTGCTTTTCTCACTGCTATTCTGTTGAAAAGCACATATTGAAATAATTTTACTTTAATATTAGTCAGCACTCATTATGGCACCATACTCGGAGCCTATTGTTCTACTTTTCTGTTTCATTTGATTTGTTTCATTTATTTTTCTCAAAAGTAATATACACTTCCCAGATTTCATTAGGGAATTTGGATAATTTCTTGTTTTTCTCTTTCTAGGTTTGGTGCTCTCAAATCTCGGTTTGCTAGGAAAGACGGAATGCCTCACAGAGCCAGTCATTCAACAGAGAGAGGTCATCTCTGCCCGACTCCAGGTAAATTGAGTTCAGCCTATTTGTTTTGTTTTTGTAACTAAAATATTATTCATGATATGCTTAAGTTTTTATTAAGTTTAATTTTGAATATATGAGGGCTACTTCATTTTTCTCTTTTTAAGATTGCTTTAACTCCTTCTGACTATCAAAATAGGAATTGGAACTTTGAAAAAAATTGATTTACTTATATTTCCAAGCTTATTACCCTTTAATAGGTTAGTGCACAATTTGAAAATGTAAGGCTAAGTTTCAAAATGTAAAAAAAGCAGCCAAAAAGAACAGAGCACTAATAAACTGATCCCTAAAACTCATTGTAGATTCAGAGACATATGCAATATGGCTGAAAAGAAAGGAAGAATGTTGAGTTGTTTTTGTATTCTCTTTTAAAAATTAACATTTTTCAAAGAAACAGTATTCGTTTTTTGGGATAAGTTGAGGGTGAGTCTGGAACAGGAAGAGAGGGCTAGTAACTTATAATGGAAGTCAGCCAGTAGAGAGGAGAAAGCATGACATTTGAGGTTAGAGAACTTGGGTTTAGATTACAGCCTGCATGTAATTATGGGAAAGCCACCTGACTCCTGAACTTTAATTTCTTTATTCCCAGATAGTACTGGGCACCTAGAAGATGTTTAACAAATATTAGTTTCTAATATCCTACCTTATCTCATGGAATTCTTGTGACTCTATGATTCCATGTATGTAACATTTCTTCGTAAACTGGAAAGTAAGGTAAAGTATTAGTTACCATTTGTCCTGTCACCTGGCTGTTAAACATAACAGCATGTAAGTGCCAGGCACAGATGATAATCTTGAATTCAGTGATTCCCCAAGGGCCCTGCTCCTAACCTTTTCTCTGTCTCAGTATCCACTTCTCTTTCTCCTACTTGTTTTGTGGTAACACTCAGATTTCCTCCTCTAGATAACCAGCCTCAGTCTTCTCCATTCAACTCTGCCTTCTTGTAGATCTCAGGGTACCTGCAAAGACAGGTAGGAAATGGTGCCTTCCGCAGCCTTACTCTCTGGTTCCTCCAGGTCTTCTCTACTCCTCCCTGCAATCTCTCTCTTCCAACATTCCCACCGTTTTTGACCAAGGGAGAGATCACTTGGTTAAGTTGATGAACACAGCAGTTTCTGTCCATGCTTTGTCAGACTGGTTTCAACAGCTCAGATCTGCTTACGATTCTCCCAGGTCTAAAATCTTTTGTTTCCCATCTCCTTCAGGATAAAATTTAGAGTCTTTGACATGGAAAACCCTTAATGTTCTAATATCTGTCAGTCTTTTCAGTGACTTACCACTCTCCTCCTCACACCCTCAATGCCACATTAACCTAGTGGGCCATGATTGTTTATTTCCTGCCTCATTAAAAAAAAAAATGTGAGAGGTACACTGTGTTTCCTCATACCCTGATTCCAAATACTCTTCTCTCTTCTTCTTTTACCTAAGCATCCTTTGAAATTCAGTCAGGTACTACCTTCTCTAGAAAACTTTCTCTGTGGTTATCATAGCCACATCATGCTCTTTTAGTTTTCTACTGCTATGTGACAAATTACCACACACTTAATGCTTAAAACAACACACATTTGTCATTTCACAGTTTCTATATGCCTGGAGCCCAGGCACAGCTTAGCTGGATCCTCTGCTTAAGGGCTCCTAAGGCTGTAATCAAAGTGTCAGCTGGGCTGCATTCACTCTGGAGGCTTAACTGGGGAGGAATCTGCTTCCAAGCTCAGTGAGGTTATGACAGAATTCATTTTCTTTTTTCTTTAGGACTGAGGGCCCTGGCTTCTGGCTGGGTGTATTTTGGAGGCTACCATCAGCTTCTAGAGGCTGCCCTCTGTTCCCTGCCATGTGGGCTTCCCCAACATGGCTTCTTCATCCAACCAGCAGCGGAAGTCTTTACTGCAAGTCTGATGGCAAGATGGAGTCTTATGTAATGTAACATGATCCTGGGAGTGAGATCCCATCACCTTCGTCACATTTTGTTGGTTAGAAGAAAGTCACTGGGTCCTACCCATGCTTTACAAAGGAGGGGATTAGAAAGGTGTGAACACCAGGATGTAGAGACCCTAAGGGGCCACCTCAGAGTGTCTGCCACACATACCGTGTTATTGTTTCTTTACAGCCAGTCTCCTTTGGTAGAGAGTGAGCTCCTTGAGGGGAGGGGCTGCTCACCTCCCAATCTCCCATAGCCCGGGGCGTGGCAGACAGTAGCTGGTCAACGCTCATGAACAAACGAGTGAATGGATGGTACGATGAAGGAGAATTGTCATGCTCTTAGCAGCCCTGTGATTTTGGAAAAAGGGGGGGAAACTTATGATGAGTGGGAAAACAAAATGTAAGCCATAAGAAGAATGTCTAGAGGAATGTCTGCCTAGAAGAGGAATGACTAGCTCTCCAGTGCTGAGCCTTGTCCTCTTTGAAGATGAAATAGACTATTCTTTGTTTTTGCTCTGAAAGAGGCCATACCTAAGAGGTGGTGATAAATTGGATGACTGTTCAGAAATACTCACTCCTGTTCCATCTCTACGGGCAAAATATATTTCCTTGCTCCCTGACTTTGAGCTTTACCCTGTGACTTGTTTTGATCAATGGAATACTAGTGGGTTTGATGTGCCCGGGTTTGGAAAGGGTTGGTGTGATTTGGCTTGTTCTTTTTCCCTTCTGCTATCATCACAAGAGCATGCCTGGACTAGCCCTTTGATCACAGAGAGAGATGCGAGACATAGAGTTGAGCTTCCACAGCCAAGTTTCCCAGCCATTCCCTAGCCAAGTAAGCCAACCTCCAACTGACCTTCGGATGTGTGACCTAAACAAATACTTACTGCTGCATGTCACTAAGATTTTGTGGTTGTTTATTATGTAGCAATAGTGAACTTATATAGGATATCAAAGGGAAGTATGACTCAGAAAAGGAATGAACTTTGTGTTCCTCTTTTGCAGAGAGGGTTTGCCAATGGGAAAAACTCACTGAGATTTAGGAGGCAGGAAGTAAGAAGAGGCCATTATGTTTGGGAAGTTGTTCCCATTGGGCACGGTGGCTTCCTCAAACACAGCAATTTCACACCTCCTCACAAAGTCCCACTTCACAGACATGGCGGCTTCACAGATGTCTCCATGAACTTGCCATTTTTGTCGCACTTTGGGTGGCTAAATGCGTGGAGCTCCTTGTACTTCACATACTCCAGGTTCCCTCACATTAGTGCATCAGGCTAAACTAGGTAGTGACTGTTTCTCCAGCCCTTCCAGGTGTAGCTTTCCAGACCTCCACTCTCCTAGGCCCCCCACACCTAGATAATCTGAAATCCCTATATTAAACCCCTCCCTCTTACATTGCTTGCAGTGGCTCTGTTTTCCTAATGACCCCAGACTGATAACAGGAGTTAATGGAAATAAGCCATTCAGCAATAATCAGAGCTTGCTAATCAGCACAGCTTTTAATATTTTTATCAACTAAATTACTTTAAGATCTAAAAAAAATTATAAAAGGTAGAGTTTCCAGGATCCATCCCAAGTGAGAAAGACATATAAAATATATGGCAGTTAGAATTTGTGCTTTCATAACTTATTTTGTTAACATGGTAACAAAGTCCCCACTTTTATTATTGATTCCAACCACCAAATCCAAGGTGTTTCAGAGGGATTTATAATACTTAAGATTTTGTAGAGAAAAGAAGTTCAAAATAATATTTATTTTTTTACATTCTAAGGAAACATTTCTATATTTGTTTTCATTATGTTCTGCGTTCTTAGCATCCTTCCCAGGAGTTTTTAAGAGAGCAAATGGTCAAGGTGATTGACTCCCCAAATTCATTCCATCCCACCAACTGATGTCAGCTGCTCATGGTAATCCCATTTCCCTCACTAGTAACTAGTTAGGGAATGGACTGTGACACAATCCTGCCTGAGGGGTCATATACTGGATACTTCAGGGGATGGTTTTCCCACTGAAAAAAATGAGACCTTGCAGAGATGACCCCTTTTTCCTCTAGGTGTCGCTGTGCGTGACAGGCGTGATAGGACAGCCACAGCTCTGTCGCTACACACCTGAAGAGGAAGACAGCACCTAAGATGGCAAAGCAGAGCAGCGACAAGAGCTGTGTCCTTAGTGATATTATTGAGTCACTGTCTCAGTCAGTCCTGCCCTCTGCTCTGGTTTTCCTCCTACGTGAGATAAAACATTTCCCTATTGGTTAGCCTGGTTTGAATTGGGGCCTTATATTTCTTATAATCAAAAGCATATGGAGCCAGAAAGGCTCGAACATGGTTAGCAAGAACTGGAGTTAGTTCATCACTAATATGTTCATAGGAAAAAAGTAGATGGTTTTCTCAAGGCACAGACAGAATTTTAAATATATTTAAATATATTAAATATATTAAACCTAAAATATATTAAACCTAAAAATTAGTATCAAAAAAAAAACCAAAAAAACTCAACCAGCAGAGGTCTCAGGGTACCCATAGGATAATGGTGGCAGTCTAAACTCACATTTCTCCATGCATCCTTCTATAAACCAAAGGGAGAAAGAAAGTCACCTATAGCCCATGTCTATAACATAACAAATATGACAAAGTTCATTTTGTGTGTAAATGGGGAAAATAAACATATGTCATCAACAGAATTTATCCTGGAACTCATATTAGGCAACTATGCAAAAGAGAGGAGAGTGTAGTGAGGTTGTAAAAGTTAACAGAACACAAACAGCACCAACAAGAATTCGTCCCCAGAAAGCAAGGTCCCCTTGCTGAGTGGAAATGTAGATCTAGAAATTTAGATATTAAATCCATATTCTTATTTTAAAAATATAATCAGTTTATTGCCCTGTTTACAAAGCCTATCAGATAAAGATGAATCTCTTTTGCGTGACATATGAGGCCCTCCTGATCTGGCCTCCGCTTCCCTTTAAGCTCCACTGAGCTTTCTGTGCACTGCAACATTGTGTTTTGGGATCAGACAGACCTGTGATGAAGTCTTGTTATTAGATGGGTGGCCTTGGTCAAGTTACCACAGGTTGCTCAGACTCTGTTTCCTCATCTGTAAAATAAGGATAATAATACCTGCTCATCCTGAGGTTGTGTCTGAGTTAAAGATGATTATCTATGTAGAGTGCTTAGCACAGACCTGGCACAGCGTACATGCGGAGTGTCCGCTATGATTGCCTCTAACCCTGTCACACCCTCTCCGTCTCGGTGTGTGCTGTTTCTCCTACTTAAAGTGTGCTCTGACCTCCCTTCTCTGCCCTTCCCTGTGTAGCAAATTGCGTCTTATCTTTTCAAGTCCAAGCCTGTTTTCACTTAGACATAGTGATTCCCTTCTTGTGCTCTGGGAGCCCTTTTTCCCTTACCCATCAATCGGCGTATAGCAGGGACTCAGTAAATACCACCTAAATGAATGGACTAACAAAGGATGAAAAGACTGAGCAAAATGGAAGGCATGATTTATGACAAAATTAATTGTAAGATGTGAAATTTAGAAAGGTTAAAACATTTGCTTTGCAGGAATTCTTCTCTTTTCACTGTTTTTCCTTTCATGTCTCTTAAATTTCTGTTTTTCATAATTCCCACCATAGATGATATTTCTTCTGAGCCACAGACTGCAATAAGTATTATCACAGGGGCTTATGAAACAGAAGAGGAGTTGGAGAGTGATACTACATCATCTGACAATAACGAGTCCTGGGAAGAGGAAGTGGACAGTCTGGTAGCCTGGACCAGCGCTCTCAATACAGAAACTCTAGAAGACTAAAGCGGACACTCCAGGACTTAAAGAACAACAGTCTCCACCACAGCTCAGCCTCATGGAGCAACTTCGGGAAGGCTCTCAGAACTTGGATTCCATTTTTTCACATTGGTCTCATCCTCTCACTGCAAGTACAAATTAGAAATATAAGTATGAATCAATGAATGTGTTGCTTTGACTTTTTTGAGCTCTACTTCTTTGCTTGGAACTAGTTGGTCAAATTAGGGGTGTTCGCTGCTGTATTCCAGTCACAGGTACTGTACTCCCACAGTTGTTAAGCTACTGGACTCGAGGTTCTGCAGGCTGGGCATGAGTCAGAAAGAGACTGGGAGGGAGGGGAGCAGTCAGGAGCTTCAGAGGCTGGGCATGAACCCGCGTAGAGGGATCTTTACATTTATCTACACCTGCCTGGTTTCTTGTCTAGTTTCTTCCGCATTCAAGGGATGAGATGTCACTGTTCACTGATATTCCTCTTCTGTGTTCTCCCAGATACATGCTGTTTTCCCTCCAACCTTGACTAATCATCCCCTCATTTCTTATATCTTTATTTTCTCCCTCTCTTTTTGCCATGTTCCTCAACCTGTACCTAAGCTTTTTGCCATGTTCCTCAACCTGTACCCAGCTTAGGATATTCTATTCTATTCTGAATAGAATAGAATATTCTGAATTCATAAAATAGAATATTCAGAATAGAATCATTCCTATTCTGAAATATGTCTCTCCCTTTGAACTGCATCTCTATTTCCCTCAACACTCCCCTCACCTTTTCTCAGCCAGATTTATTAATAGCAATCTATCATTTTCTCTCTTTATTTCTTCATTTCACATTCGTACCTCCTGTACCAAGAGATCTATCTTCTGCTCATAGGACTCCACTAAACTCTGCTAGGATCACCAACGACTTCCGCATTGCCAGAACTCAACAGATGCCTCATCTCGCTGGGCCTCTAGGCTCTATTCAATGTGGTTGATCACTTGCCTTTTTTGGAGATGTTTACTGCCCTTCATGCCTTCAGAGAGACTTATTTTGAGGCCTGTGTATCTACACACACACATTTCCTCACCACACACACACACATAGAAATATATGTAAATATATGTCTGACCCCTTGGATGTAGCAATATTTCCTTGAAATCAGCTACCACATATTATATTTTATCGTTTCTATTTAATATAATCTCATTCTTTCAGGACAAGGAAGTTATACTTATTGCTTTCTTTTCCTGTAGCCAGGAGACTTGGGAATTAGAGGTAGGGTGGCGGGGGGAGGTGGGCAAACAAAAGATTTTGGAATAGAGACATTGGTCAGTAGAACAGGATGGTTTACTTAATTACTTTTGCTATATCTCTTGCCACTCATTCTGAGACTCCAATATGGATTCCCCTTCTCCCCCTAGCCCTTAGTGAAAGGTTCTTTTGAGATTGAGACCAACGCTCTTCTTTACATATTTTCCTTGGTCAATAATGCCACTATTAGAGTTTTGCCACCCACTCATGTGCCCATTCTCCGACCTTTTACTACATGCCTTAAAAGGCACTGTCTTTACTGTATCTTTCAAAGAGAAGTTTTTTAATTTTGATAAAGTCTAACTTATCAACTTTTTCATTTATAGATTATGCTTTTGGTGTTGTATCTTTGTTCTTCTTTTGCAAAGTTGTTTTGGCTATTCTAGGTGCTTTACATTTCCATATGAATTTTAGTTCATCAGTGCCTACAAAAAATCACATGGGGATTTTAATTGGGACTGCATTTAATCTTTGGATCAATCTGGAGAGGACTGACACCCTAACTATATTGAGTCTTCCTACCCATGAACTCCCCATTCATTTGGGTCTTCTATACTATCTCTTAGCAATACTTTGTAGCATTCACTTGTCCATGTGTTTCATATCATTTGTCAGATTTTTCTCTTAAGTACTTTTTGGTGCTGTTCTAAAAAGTGTTATTTTAAAATTTCCAACTATTCTGTGGTACTATATAGAAATGCAATTGATTTCTGCATATTGATCTTGTATCTTGGAATAT